GCGCTGCTCTCGGCCCACGCGGGCCGGGCCTGGCCTGCCTGGCGGGACGGGGACGGGGGCAGGGGCGGTGTGTGCGGGCCAACCCATCCTCTGCTTCCTCCCCAGAGCGACGACTCGGACGTCTGGGACGACACGGCGCTGATCAAGGCGTACGACAAGGCCGTGGCCTCCTTCAAGGTAACGGCGGGGCACCTGGTGCCAGGGAGGGCTTCCCAGATGCGGCCCTTTTCCCGCCTTCCCTGTGCGGCCCGTCCTGCCGGGGCTTCCCTCCGCGGGTGCTGAGACACTGCGGCTTTAACGAGCCCTCGGGGAAGCGTGCGGGGTGAGGGCTGTCTGCACCCTGCCTGAGGTGACCTGAAACCCTCCTCCTAGCTGCAAATAGGGCAGGTAGCTCCGGATGGGGCTCGGCCTGTTTAGCACAGGCCTGGGCTCTCCTTGTGCGCAAGCGCTGATGTTTTAGGAAAGGTGGAGTTGAAGGGGATGCTGCTGTCTCCCTTTCGTACATAGTTCAGAGCATTCAACAGCAGAAACTTATAGAGCACTTCCGAAAAATGGCACTGCCAAATTGTGACTGAAATCTGTATTTTTAAGGCTGGTTCCTTTTCTTGGGTAGATTTGAAATGACATTTTGGGGGCAATCCTTTGGGGTTGGGTTAACTCAAACCAAACATTTTCCCTTCCATTCCTGCAAAACAGGTGCTATTTTGAAATGAAAAGTTGAAACTTCATTTTGAAAACATTCAAATGTTTTTTTTCTAAGCAGATTGCTTGTTGGGGGGGGAACACCCGACACTATTAAAAACCCACATCTATGCAAATTGACTGGACTGTTTTGCAATATGTTGTAACATCAAAAAAATGCTTAAACGTAGTTGTACCTTTGTGGCACCTACAAAGGTAAGACTACATGTTCAGAAAAATTCAGATTCTACACTGCTTATTTAGCTGCATTTAGGCATATAAGTATCATTAAAAAAATCTTGAATTTCCTCTAATTATACTTAATATTCTCTAATTATAATTACTTTATAATTATAGACTTATCATTGATATTCTCTAATTATATCAGTTAAACGATAACACAGCAGGCAGCTTGGACACAGCTACTGCTGGGATCTGCTCCTGGGGCCTTTTGACAGGGCAGGAGGAGGGAGCAGCAAGCACAGCCAGACAACATAACCCATGTGTTATTAGGTGGCTCA